CACTGCTAGACTACAAACCGCAAGTCTACCAACTGCCAGTTTATCAACCGCCAGTCTACCAACTGCTAGTCTTCTAACAACCGCCAGTCTACCAACCGCCAGTCTACCAACCGCCAGTCTACCAACTGCCAGTCAACCAACTGCTAGACTACAAACCGCCAGTCTATCAACTGCCAGTTTACCAACCGCCAGTCTACCAACTGCCAGTCTACCAACTGCCAGTCTACAAACCGCTAGTCTACAAACCGCCAGACAAAAAACCACCAGTCTACCAATCGCCAGTCTACCAACTGCCAGTTTACCAACTGCTAGTCTACAAACCGCTAGTCTACCAACTGCCAGTCTACCAACCGCCAGTCTACCAACCACCAGTATACCAACCGCCAGTCTACCAGCCGCAAGACTACCAGCCGCCAGCATACCAACCGCCAGCCTACCAACCACAAGTCTACCAACCGCCAGTCTACCAAGCGCTAGTCTACCCACCGCTAGTCTACCAACCGCTAATCTATCAACTGCCAATCTACCAACCGCCAGTCTACCAACTGCCAGTCTACCAACTGCCAGTCTTCTAACAACCGCTAGCCTACCAACCGCCAATCTAACAACCGCCAGTCTACCAACTGCCAGTCAACCAACCGCCAATCTACCAATCGCCAGTCTTCCAACCGCCAGTCTACCAACCGCCAGTCTACCAACCGCCAGTCTACCAACCGCCAGTCTACCAACCGCCAGTCAACCAACTGCCAGTCTACCAACCGCTAGTCTACAAACCGCCAGACAACAAACCACCAGTCTACCAATCGCCAGTCTACCAACTGCCAGTTTACCAACTGCTAGTCTACAAACCGCTAGTCTACCAACTGCCAGTCTACCAACAGCCAGTCTACCAACCACCAGTATACCAGCCGCCAGTCTACCAACCGCCAGTCTACCAGCCGCCAGACTACCAGCCGCCAGCATACCAACCGCCAGCCTACAAACCACAAGTCTACCAACCGCCAGTCTACCAAGCGCTAGTCTACCCACCGCTAGTCTACCAACCGCTAATCTATCAACTGCCAATCTACCAACCGCCAGTCTACCAACTGCCAGTCTTCTAACAACCGCTAGCCTACCAACTGCCAATCTAACAACCGCCAGTCTACCAACTGCCAGTCAACCAACCGCCAATCTACCAATCGCCAGTCTTCCAACCGCCAGTCTACCAACCGCCAGTCTACCAACCGCCAGTCTACCAACCGCCAGTCTACCAACCGCCAGTCTACCAACTGCCAGTCTACCAACCGCTAGTCTACAAACCACCAGTCTACCAACTGCCAGATTACCAACCGCCAGTCTACCAACTGTCAGTCTACCAACAGCCAGTCTACTAACTGCCAGTTTACCAACCACCAGTCTACCAACCGCTAGTCTACAAACCACCAGTCTACCAACTGCCAGATTACCAACCGCCAGTCTACCAACTGTCAGTCTACCAACAGCCAGTCTACCAACTGCCAGTTTACCAACTGCTAGTCTACAAACCGCTAGTCTACAAACCACCAGTCTACCAACTGCCAGATTACCAACCGCCAGTCTACCAACTGTCAGTCTACCAACAGCCAGTCTACCAACTGCCAGTTTACCAACCACCAGTCTACCAACCGCTAATCTATCAACTGCCAATCTACCAACCGCCAGTCTACCAACTGCCAGTCTACCAACTGCCAGTCTTCTAACAACCGCTAGCCTACCAACCGCCAATCTAACAACCGCCAGTCTACCAACTGCCAGTCAACCAACCACCAATCTACCAATCGCCAGTCTTCCAACCGCCAGTCTACCAACCGCCAGTCTACCAACCGCCAGTCTTCCAACCGCCAGCCTACCAGCCGCCAGTCTACCAACCGCCAGTATAACAACCGCCAATCTTCCAACTGCCAGTCTACCAACTGCTAGACTACAAACCGCAAGTCTACCAACTGCCAGTCTACCAACCGCTAGTCTACAAAACGCCAGTCTACCAACCGCCAGTCTACCAACCGCCAGTCTACCAACTGCCAGTCTACCAACCGCTAGTCTACAAACCGCCAGTCAACTAACCGCCAGTCTACCAACCGGTAGTCTACCAACCGCCAGTCTAACAACCGCCAGTTTACCAACTGCTAGTCTACCAACCGCCGGTCTACCAACTGCCAGTCTATCAACCACCAGTCTACCAACCACTAGTCTACCAACCGCCAGTCTACCAACCGCCAGTCTACCAACCGCCAGTCTAACAACCGCCAGTCTACCAACCGCCAGTCTACCAACCGCCAGTCTAACAACCGCCAGTCTACCAACCGCCAGTCTACCAACCGCCAGTCTAACAACCGCCAGTCTACTAACTGCCAGTCTTCCAACTGCCAGTCTAACAACCGCCAGTATAACAACCGCCAGTCTACCAACTGCCAGTCTTCCAACCGCCAGTCTAACAACCGCCAGTCTACCAACTGCCAGTCTACCAACTGCTGGCCCACTTTCTTCAACATCATCATCACTAACTGTCAGCCTACCAACTGCTAGCTCACCTATTGTCAGCTTTTCAACTGCCAGCCAACCAACTACCAGCCCACCAATTTCTAGCCCACCCACTTCCATGGCACCAACTGCCAGTTCACCAGCTCCAACACCACTTGCAAGCATCAATTCTAGCACATCAACCGCAACTTCAGCAGCATCATTAACTACAACGACGTCACTAACAACGACACCACCCGACGGTTTAAGCCTTATTTTTCAATTTTGTTTTCACTTTTTTTCTAATTTGTTTTTCAAATAATTTTTATAAAAAAAATTGTTGATTTTCAACTGCATTTACCAAACAATTAACGTTTATAACTTCTATTGTTTTATTTTATATCAGCGCTCTTATTCTATCAAAATTTTATTGACCAAAACCTTTTAATCAACTTGTCAATTTGTCATTCCAGCAATCAATCTATCTTTTCATCCATCCATTGGCAATGAACTCCTCTAACAATTTGATTAAACAATCATCAAATTATCAATCAATCAATCAATCAATCAATCAATCAATCAATCAATCAATCAATCAATCAATCAATCAATCAATCAATCAATCAATCAATCAATCAATCAATCAATCAATCAATCAATCAACAATCAATCAATCAATCAATCTAAGCATCAATGTATTAGATTTTGAAATTCAAAAATCCCTTTTTAGCTTGCCTCTGGTTAGAACTCAGGTACACTCAAGTTTCAGTAACGAATGATGAAACTTATTCGTCTTTTGATGAAATGTTGGGGCAGTGTGATATCGAACCAGGGTGTCGCGGGTCGTTTACGTACGACGCCGAAAATGATAATTATGTCGGTACCGATCCAAGTTTGGCTAAAATAAGCGAACGAAAGTCAGTCGGCACATTGTTCGTTGATACTTGCGTTGAAAATCCAGGTTGGTTGAGCTTTTTTGTTGGTCTTGGTAACGATTGCTTTGATGGTGATAATGCGATGATGCTAAAGATGATGATGATAATGACGACAACGATGATGAAGATGATGATGTTTTTTTCTTCCCAGCTATCGGCGTTACACTCGGTGATGCAATGGAGATCGAAAGTTAGTTACGTCATCTTCTTCGTCATTGAAACATTTTTATTTGAATACTTTGACAGGCATTAATTAATAAATTTTCAACAGAATCATCACCGTAAAATATATTTCAAATTTGTGATAAAAATAAACATTTAGGTAAATGCTTCAAAAATACGAATTTTCCAAATATTAAATTTATTAATTTCATCTCAGAGCATGACTTCTGGGTGAAATTTGCCTCTTCAAACGCCTTGGAATCGAGTCTCATCCCAACGGCCACAACTCTGGAAAGCTGCCTTACAGTGTGCATGGATAATATCGAATTATCCTGCCAACGCGGATTTACGTGGGACTCGGTCGGTAATAATTGTTACATCACCATCGTCGAGGGCGATAAACGGTTCTTTAATCTCGGTAGTGGGCCGAAAGGATCGACTCTTTATTATCCGTACCGCCAATTATGTTAGTTTTTCACTAGTGCCACTATTGCTGCTGCTGCTGTTTCAACTCTTTAACTACTACTGCTAATTTATAAAAATAAGTAAAGTTTAAACATTGGAAATGCCTTTCAGGTGTTAAATATATGGAGACATCTTTTTAAGTTTATTTAACTTATGTAGCTAGTTATGTTTTTTGAAGGCACTTTAGTTAATATAATGGTGTTAGTATCTGAAAATTTTTAAATTACTGCTGCTGCTACTACTGCTACTGCTACTTCTACTACTACTACTAATAAAAAAAAAATTGATGTTCATTTTTTAAATTCTAATCAGCAATGTACGATAATGTCATGACGCTAGAGCCAGACGAAGGTTAATAATGTTGTATTTTATTTGTATTGTATTGTGTTGTAATGTATTGAATTGTATTTGTATTTCATTTGTATTGTACTTTATTTATTGTATTATATATGTCATAATTATTATTATACACTGTCAAAATTATTTGTGACTAGAAGAATAATTCGTAAGTATTATTTATTCTTTTTATATCAGTATTGTATTTACTGACGGTGTTAATGGTAAGATGCCTGTCATTGCTGTTGCAATGACCGGATTCGAATGCGAATAAAACCCCACGTATCACATGCAATATCATGATTAACAATTTCTCAAACAGAGGCAGGATGTTGGATCATACATAAAGAGAAATTCATCCTGTCCTCCAAAAAGCTTCCGAATCGCTCATCTCTTCTCCAGTGCAAAATTGCCTCTCTAGAATCCGGATTGAACTATTTCAGTTACAATAACGGGAAATCTCTCTGCTTCCTGCTATCCGGCAAATATTCGAGTAGTTTATTAAAGTACTCGACTTCGACCGATAGTTACGAATATGATCCGGTTGCTTGTAGCAAGATAGTTTAGTCTATATATTCATAGTTTATTCAGAAAAGTAACTGGCGAATACCGATATTAACGACACCTCGGAGTGTGCTATTTAATGATAATTTTTATTATAGATACAAAAATTTTTTTTAATATACATAGTGGACTATATTAGACTCCATATTCTGTGTTAAATGTATCAATTATGACATTTTGATTTATTGACAAACGATTGTGGAAGAATATATTTTCAAATTGATTTAGATACTCTCATTGCTGAATAAATTGCGTCTAAATGGCTGTGTTGTGCTTATTATATATAGAAAGAAACATGTCAAATTAATGTAATATAAAACCTATCAGATACTAATAGTGTTCATTGCCATTTCAAAAAAAATTTGATAATTAAAATCCCAAAATCTTATTATGTACACTTCTATTATTTAAATTACGGGTTATTAATTTAAATTGTTTAATAAAAAAAAATTACGATTTTTAAAAATTGTTCAACAAATTAATTTGTAGATATATGTTGAAAATAGATAACTCCATGGAATTATATAACTCAATGGATAACCGTCTCTTATAACTAGAATAAATATAACGGCCTTCGCTCACTTTCTTTCGGAGGGGAGTTGAAGGGTGATTTTTTATCGTTCGAGTCAAAAGTTACGATTGTATATCAATCAATCAATCAATCAATCAATCAATCAATCAATCAATCAATTAGCTTATAAAGCGCTATTTCCGCGATGTTCAACAGCGCTCCTCAATGAATTTTGAAAACAGATGGGTCTTGAGATCCGCTCTGAACTTCGCAAGTGATGGAGAAATAGTTAGAGAAGTAGGTAGAGAGTTCCAGAGAAAAGGACCAGAAAAAGCAAAAGCAGATTTGGCAAAAGAGTGTTCAACACGAGTTAAGAAAAAGCGAGAAGAAGAAGACGATCGTAAACCGGGGCGTTTAGGTTCAATTAATATATCTGATAAGTACTTAGGAAATAATTTAGATTGAGACTTATACATGAACGTGCAAATTTTAAAAATTATTCTATATTTTATAGGTAGCCAGTGCAAGAGAACAAGATATGGAGATATATGAGAAAAGAAAGGGGCACGAGTAACTAGACGAGCAGCAGAGTTAAAAGCTTTACTTAAAGGATAGAGTATAGAGTCAGGAAGACCATAGTAGAGCGAGTTACAATAATCAATCCTAGATAAGACTAACGAAGTAACAAGAAGGAGAAGAGTAGGATCATCAAGAAAAGGCAAAAGTTTTTTTATTCTACGTAGATGAAAGTAAGAGTTTCTAGCAACACTATTAATCTGAGAAGAGAGAGACATAGTAGAATCAAAGATAAAACCTAGACTACGAAACTTATGAGAGACATCAAGAGTTTTAGAATCAGGTAAGATAATAGGAGGAATAGTAATTGAGTGTTTAGATTTATTAAAACAAATTAATATTTACTAATTAAAGCATATTGCTTTATTGTTAAAATTTTAATTTTATTTTTTAATTGTTGTTCAATGTGGTAATTAATTACTTTTATTTGGAATAAATTTAAAAAAAAATCGACATTACCGAAAATAATTAAAAGTTGAAAAAATTGAGATTCTTGGCATATCCCTGCTTAAACCCATAAGAAAGTGTTGTATATTGGTAAATAGGCCTCTCCTTGAGACAACTATACGGAGTCGTGGGTGCAGTATGATAGTAGACATACATACCTACCATAGATATTTTGATCTATAAAGAAAAAAAAATTGTTTTTCGTTGTTATTGCTTAAGTTTACTTTTAGGGATTCGTATTTGTTTTTGTCCTAAATTTCAAAGCACGTGTGAGATGGCCGAATCCGGTCAGTAAAAGTTTTGGATATTTTATTTCTAAATAATTTATTTTTCAGCTAGGTTTAGTTGCATAATTATCAGATCGTTCCTTTTTTAAGCTTTGTTGCTTTTTTTTGGTTCTAGTTAAGGGTGTGAGCGGTATTAGAGTTAGGCGCTGCTTGGCGTGATGCTGTGATTAATTATTTTCGTGATCAATTTTTTTTTAATTAGCACGGTGTTATTTTATTAAACAGATAAAAAGAAGAAGAAGAAAGAAAAGTCTTTGGCCGTAAGTTACATTTTGGAATTTTATTCATTGCATATTTATTTTATTTATCATTTGCTTTTGCTTTTTCTGGTCCTCTACTTCTCTGACTACTTCTCCATCACTTGCGAAGTTCAGAGCGGATCTCAAGACCCATCTGTTTTCAAAATTCATTGAGGAGCGCTGTTGAACATCGCGGAAATAGCGCTTTATAAGCTAATTGATTGATTGATTTTTTAAATTTAATTTAAAATTTTAAAAATCCTAATGCTCTACTAATAACCAATCTAATCTAATTGATGATTAGTAAAGCATAAGATTTGAGTCTAATGATTATACTAATAATTAGAGTCTAATGATTAGACCAACCTCTAATGTCACTAATCTAATCTAATAGAATGTTATTAGTGTTTGCCTGTTTGATTTTTTTTTATTGGTTTGTTTATTTTATGGGTTTTCTGATTAATCTAGTTGATTATTATTAATAGAAATGGATTGACTGACTGATTGATTGGTTAATTGGTTGATAGATTGATTGAATTGTGTTATATGTGCATAACATTGGCAGTCGACATATGACAGAAAACTATTTAATTGAAAATTTTTTATTGTTGCCATTTATTTTTGATTATTTTATTATTGCATAATATATTCTCCACTGATAAACTTATGTTCTTTTTGATTAAACATCTACAATTTAAAATTGATTAATTAATATGTAAAAGTTATTAAAAACCTAAGGGGTAGCATTCCAAATCAATCATGCACATCACTGTTTTATTTTATCTTTAGGACATCCAACATACAGAATCTTTTATGATTCAGCCATCGGGCAGAACTTCCAAGTTGGAAACTTCCCAATGGCCTCTGCTATTGAAGGTTAAAATGCTATAGCTGAGTATATCATTTAATAATCTGTGATTTATTCATTATAATTTAATTTTTTGTATCATAATCTTTATGATATCTTTTTAAAAATAGAATTTTGAACGTCTGAACGTAAGAACGAATCATTACACGCCAATTCCTGCTGGCTGTTCACCGTTGTTGAGACCCATCGATGAGTACATAAAGTCCGTGTTGTTATCTTGTATTATTTAGGATTTTTTACTATTTTGGATTTTTTTTTCTAATTTTTGAGTTTCATTTTCTTTGGTTATTGTGGTTTTTTGTTGGTTTAGTTTTTATAATTAAATTTTTTAAACAAGATTCAAGTAAATAATAACATCTTTTTAATTTCCATAATCAAGTATTCTAATTAATTGATTGGCTAATTATCTAGTTAGTTAGTTAATTAATTAATTAGTTAATTTTAACTTTTAGGAGTGGGATAATTAACCTAGATAAACCGTCAAATCCTTCCTCCCACGAGGTCGTCGCCTGGATCAAACGAATCCTCAGAGTTGAGAAAACTGGTCACAGTGGCACTCTGGATCCTAAGGTATGTTCTGTTGTATTGTATTTTAATTTTAAAATAATTTAAAACATTTATAATAATTTTTCCAAATACATTAAAAAATAGAAGAATGATTTTAAGTTTTCAACAAATAAATGGTTTAATGTAGGTGTGTGGGAGCTCATGTTTCATTTATTTTTTGTTATGCTGGTGCTTGAGGCAAATGAAAATGATTTGTAGAAATATTTGGCTTTTTTTATTGAAAAAGTTCAAATTCTTTTCGTCTTATATTTGGTTAATTTAGTTTTTTATTTAAATTTACGTTTGGTTAAATTTAAACCATTCTTAATTTTATTCATGGACATCAAATTTTATCCAATCAAATCATTTCATTTATTAAGTAGTCAAACGAACAACCAATCAGGTGACAGGCTGCTTGATAGTCTGCATAGACCGAGCTACGCGATTGGCCAAATCACAGCAAGGGGCGGGCAAAGAGTATGTTGGGATCTTTAGGCTGCACGAAGCTGTCGAGAATGAGAAACAGATTCTAATGGTTTGTTTTTTTTTTAATTTATTTTTTTTAAATCGTAAAACCAATTATTATCAGAGGGACAGATTCTAATGGTTTGGTTTTTTTAAATTTATTTTCATTAAAAAATAGTAAAACCAATTAAGTTAAAATTATATTATTTCTAATTGTAACTGAAAATAATTATAGGCTGTTCAGTCGTTAACTGGAGCTCTGTTTCAAAGACCACCATTGATATCTGCCGTCAAGAGGCAGCTTAGAGTCAGAACTATTTATGACAGCAAGCTTGTTGAATATGATAAAGGGAGAAATATGGGTTGGTATGATTTGATCTGCTTGATTTGGGACTGATTGATTGATTGGTTGGTTATTGAGGACTGATTGATTGATTAGTTTTTTGATTGATTGGTTAGTTGATTGATTGATTGGTTAGTTGATTGATTGATTAGTTGATTGATGGATTGATTGGTTGATTGATTGGATGGTTGCTTGTTAGCTGATTGATAGGGAGTTGGCTGTGTTCTTTATTCTCTTGGTATATTCATAACTTTTTTATTTATCTCTGTTATAATGTTATTATTTATTAAAATTAATAATTATAACTATAATTAGCATAATAATTATTATTGCAGGCATTGTTTGGGTTAGCTGTGAGGCAGGCACCTACATTAGGACGTTGTTTGTCCATCTTGGTTTGCTTCTTGGGGCCGGAGGTCAAATGCAAGAGCTGAGGAGAGTTCGATCGGGAATCATGTCAGAAAATGTTAGTTGGTTGGATGGTGGTCTGGCTTGTTGGTTGGTTTGTTGGGTGGCTGGGTGGTTGGTTGGGTGGCTGGTTAGTTGGTTGGATGGTCTGGTTTGGTTGGTTGGTCGATTAATTTTCCATTTCGTGACCTGCTAGATTTTTATCTATTATTGACTATTTTTTTATTTGGTTCACTACTTTGAATATTAATTCTTCACTACATCATTAATCATTCTATCTCGGACATACTGACACGCACACACATACTGACACACACAAGCTGACACACACACAAGCTGACGCAAAGTAGTGACACAAACTGACACGCACACACACACACACACACAAATCTACACAGGATTCCTTAGTCACGATGCACGACGTACTCGATGCACAATGGGTGTACGACAATCACAGGGACGAGTCCTACCTCCGTCGTGTCATCCGACCACTCGAGTCCCTGCTCATCTCACATAAGAGGATCATCCTGAAAGATTCTGCTGTTGGGAATTTGCTTTTTTGGCTTTTTCACTTTTTTCTAGAGAGAGAGAGAGAGGAGAGAGAAAGAGAGAGAGGGGAATATTTTAGATTGCTGAAAGAGATTTCTTATGGCAAAGAGAGAGAGAAAGATAGAGAGAGAGAATGTTCAATTTTGTTTATTCATCCCAATAATTTACCAAATTACTCATACATCCATTTCAATCAATCACTCATTTCAACCAATCCATCCATCCATCCCAATCAATCCCGTGCATCCAGGTGAATGCAGTCTGCTACGGGGCCAAAATCCTCATGCCAGGAGTGCTGAGATTCGACGACGGTATTGAACTTAACGAGGAGATCGTCGTCATCACCACTAAGGGTGAAGCAGTTGCCATAGGTCAGCTCACTAGACCACAGAAATACATCTTGTTTGTACACCAATACACTTCAATACACGATTTACAATACAATATGGCATCAGCAACTATAGAACAACATTACAATGTTGTTGTTGTATTGTTTTGTATTGTATTGTATGCCTTTTAAATTTTTTCCATTTTGCTGCACTGCGGCTTTTAAGTTTGTTGTATTTGTGTTGTATATACCTTTCAATGTATTGATACTTTATAGGCATGAGCCAAACATACAATTGTATAATACATACATGGTATATATACAAATTCATGCATATACAAATACATACATAAATACATACTTAACAAATATATCTCTAATACTCACAAATACTTACACAGATACCTTCAAATACTCACAACAAATACCTAAACATACTCACAAATACCCAGACAAATACCCAGACAAATACCCATACTAATACTTATTTAAATGCATAACAGCCATCGCCCTGATGACAACAGCTGTCATAGCATCTTGTGATCATGGTTTTGTGGCAAAAATAAAAAGGGTTGTCATGGCCCGAGACGTCTACCCTCGGAAGTGGGGGCTCGGACCCGTTGTTAGTTCATTAATTATTCATTATGTTGATTAATTATTCATTACGTTGGTTAATTATTCATTACGTTGGTTAATTATTCATTATGTTGGTTAATTATTCATTGTTTGTGAGTTATTCGAGATATTTTAGTGATAAATTTTTGGCTGGCTGGATAATTGATTAGTGATAGATTAATTATCTTCTGTAATAATAGTAATTCTTGGTTTCCATTATGTATTGCTAACAGTGTAGTTCTCTCTCTTTCTCGTTTCTTTCTCTCTCTCTTTGTCTCTCTCTCTCTCTCTGTCTTTCTCTCTCTTATATTTTTGTATTTTATTTTTACTACCATCAATATTATTATAAATATTCCTTTTAAAATTGTCCAGGCTGCCAAGAAGAAAGACATGATCAAATCTGGACTTTTGGACAAGCACGGCAAGCCGACGGCTGCAACTCCAAAGAACTGGATACAGGCGTACACTGATTTTAGGTCAACAATTTTACCATCCTTGTCAATTCTTATCCATTTATTCTAATTTCTTCATCATTTATGGTTGAAAATTTATCATTTTAAATTGTTTTATTTGGGTAATTTTATAAGATTTCATAAATTTTAAAAAGTTATTTTTTAAACTAGTGCTGGAGGCTCGGTAGATGCAGCTGCTACCACAGCTGCCACTACTACTGCTGCTACTACTGTTACTACACATAAGGTATGAAACAGCTGTCATTATCATTGTTGTCGTAATTGGCATTACTGCCATCATTGTCTTCATCATTAGATTAAATTGTTTAGTTGTTTGAGACTTATTTTCAAATATTCATTATCAATTTCAACTTAACCATTGCTGTAGAGCTTCATCTTATCATCACCATCACGTCATCATCACTTGTACCACCAGTCTGTAGCTTAACATTTTTTGTTATTATCATAATTTTCTGTTATCATTTGATCAAGTCGATACAATTTCTCTGATGGTTATTTATCATTTCACCATCCTCTTCATCATCTCCACTACTGGCTATTGTCATTTTTTATCATCCAATCATTGCCAGATGCTTTTACTACCAGCCAATCATTTCCATGTACAATTATTATCATCCAATCATCTTCTATTATCGTTTCGTCATCATCTACTATAGCAATTTGTCATCACCTTTATTATCATGACGTCATTTTACTTCTGCAGAGGAAGCGTGTTGCATCGTCATCCTCGTCGTCGAGTAGCAGTGATGAGGAGAAGAAGAAAGAAAAAAAGAAAAAATTAAAAGAACAAAAACAGCAGCAGAAATCAGCTGAAGCAGCAGCTGCAACAGCAAAAGAAGTAAAACCATCGGCTGCTACTGATCCCAAAGCATCTCCGGCTACAACAGCTGATGTCGAAGAAAAGAAGGAAAAGAAGAAGAAGAAAAAAGAGAAATCGTCAAAAGATGGCGAGTTAGCAGCGGGAGAGGGTGGTGTTGGAAAAAATTCGAATCAAGAATTGCAGGTTTTTTAATTGTTTCATCTCGGTTTATTATTCTTGATCGATTGATTGATTAATCGATTGATTGATCGATCGATTGATTGATACTATTCTATATTTTTGTTGTACGCATACGTTGTTTTGCTATTATTTGTCTTATTATTTCGTCTAAGTTAGTCCTCAAGGGCACCAACGACACGTACGAACGCACGTCTTACGTGTCTGTTTTCGCGCGTCTCACACTGGTGTGACTCTCCTTGAGATCGTATCCGGTTAATGCGACAGCAGTGACATGAACCCTAACCATTACACTACCTTATGGCCCAATATTATTGATAATTGATGAATTACTAGGTTTTTTCCACAATTAAATGTTTAAAAATTTTTTTTTAGGAGGCCAGCGCTATCGCTGATGATGATAGTATGAAAGTTAAGAAGAAGAAGAAGAAGAAGATAAAACAAGAAATTAAAGAGGAACAATTGTGAAGAAGATGATGAAGATTATGATGATAGTGCTATTGATAGTTCAGGCTGTGATTAACTAATTAATTAATTAATTAGAATGTAACATTGTACTAATTTAAAATTATGTTTATAATAATAGTTGGACAGCTTCTTAACATTAATAGATAAATTCGCAAATAAACGCACCAGTTAATTATTTATAAAAGAAATGTTATTCCATCGACTGTTCGATGGATTTTTATTGTGCAAAAATAAAATATTAACGTGTTTTTGATGGTGTTGTGGTTTTTAATAAACAGTAAAAATGAGATAAAGAGAGAAAAGGGAAGAAATGCGCCACATAAATTAATTGAATGTTTGATAGATTGATTGGATGAGTGGAGTCAATGAATGACCCCTTATAGTTTCAAACTGCAAAACGAAGGGAAGATCAAATTATTAATTTTAAAGTTATTTATTTAACAATAAATAAATGAAATTATTATAAGTGAATAATAGATAACATACTAAATCGAATTTAATTAATCGTAATAACAATTGGTAATTTTAAAATTTGAATTATGTTGAAAAATTGAAATGAAAAAACTGGCGACAAGGAACACAGTGAATCGTGTAACATCACCTAGGTCAGCCAACAGACTAACATACACACATACACACACATACATACATATATATATAAATGATTTTGTATATATATATATATTGTATAGTAATAATTGCTCATATATATCATAAAAAGCACAATAATACTAAAAACGTTTAATACATGTAAACAAACAAACAGACAGACACACAAATTTATTTATCACAGAAAAATTAACGCATGTGTGTAATGTAATAAAGAAACGAAAACAAATAGCTACCATTGGAGAGAAATATTTTTTCACATTATAATAAAGACAAAAATGTATGTATATGTGTATATGTGTGTGTGTGTGTTTGTGTGTGTAGACAGCACCAATTACAGACTTAAATTCGTATCATCCAATCAGAAGGTGGGATTCAAATGACGTAATCAACGAAATTAATAAAAATCATTTTGCGATGACTAATGTGTGTGTGTGTGTACATGTGTGTGTGTGTTTGTAGGTAATGCGGTATTTTATAGGTACGTAATAAAATAGAAAGCATGTGTGCTAGTAGGCATGTTTGCAATCATTCAAATGGCTGATTGAGATAAAAAAAAGACGCTTAAACGAGTCAACAAATTAATTAAGTAAGGATTTTAATGTTTTTTAGCAGCGTAAAATCCAATTAAAACAAATAATCACATCACATTTAATGAAAAAATTATTCTATTCTTATATTTAATTAATAATAATAATAATAATTATTATTATTATTAATCATGTTTATTACAATTAAATGTACAAATTTAATTATATAAAAACAAATTTTCATGATTGAATACCGACTTATTTAGTTAATCTAGCGCAATCAATAAAACACAAACCATAACAAACTGATAACACACACGTACACACGCACACAAACAGATATATATATATATACACACATACACATACATATATATACATACATATATGTATATATATATAGCTACATTAATTGGAGAAATATTTTAAGCAGAGTGATAAAAAGAAAGTTTAACGAGAATTTTCTCAACACAACGAAAACAAAAAACTAATAGCAGAAAGCAGTTACACACACACACACAAACACACATACACACTCACACACAGACACACACACATACATATATATATAGAATAATATTGTATAGCAATGGCTGGCGTTGGAAGTAACGATGAATAATACAAAAGCTAATATCATAATTTTTCATTCTGTAATACTATTATTATTGATAAATAAATTTTTCTTCGTTAAAACATTAGCACAGCTCTATGTTGTTCTTTCTTGGCCAAACTCATTAATGTTCACACAAGTCATTGCTAATGAGGCTCTTGATGGAGAAGTTTTAGTAGTATTATTAGTGTTGGCAGTAGTAGTGAAGTAAACAGTTGTTGTATGGTAGAAGCAGTAGTAGCAACAAAAGTAGTAGCAATAGTATTACTAACAACAGCACAGCAGTAAGAGTAGTTGCAACGCCAGCAGTTGTAGTACTAGTAAAACTGGTGCTGGTAGCAGCAGTAGTAATAGAAGTTGCGTCGGCGCTTTTGAAGTTGGTGTGGCATACAAATTGACTAAATGATTACTTAATAACATAATTTTGTTGTTCATGTAGTTGTAGTAGTTGTTGTTGTAGTAGTAGTAGTGGTAGGTGTGGTCAAAGATGTCGCAAATAAATTCGCTAATTTTAATCTGGAGGTCGTGATATTTTTACGATCGTCAGAATTTGCTAAATGGTTCATGTTGTTGTTGTTGCTGCTGCTGCTGTTGTTGTTTTGGCTGCTTAGACCAGTGCAAGAACCATTTTCAATCATGGAGAAATGTTTCAGTTTAATGTCTACCGCATCGGGCACCTTACATTCAGCAACTATGCTGTCCAGACAGTTGTTCGCATCATTTGCGGGCCGGTTGGGTTTGCTCGTTGTGGTTCTTCTCAAATCTTTTGTAGAAGAAATTTTTTCAATAATGGTGCATCTGTTTAGCGCTTCTATACTAGCAACTTTGAAATTTACAGTTGGTAGTGTCTTTAAATGTAGAACTGGTATCGGCGTCATGACGCTGCTGCTGCTGCTACTGGTCGTTGAGATGTTGTTACTTTCAAATTTTAGCCAATTAGAAGTGATGCCGGCACTGATTGGCCATTCGGGTAGTCTATATTGATTTCTGATTGGCCGAGCTGACTGGGTAGTACTGGTTTGAGAACCATTGGCAGAGCTTGAAATGTGCTGAATTGGAATTACTTTAGCCTGATTCTGATTGGTCGTTCGTCTTTTCTGGGACTGGCCATCGTCCAATGAGAACAAAGATCGCGGTGACGTCAGCCTAAAGACCGGGTCGTGGAAAACTTCATACGTGTTTGGTGACGACATTGAAGTTAGAGCTTGAGGTGACGACGACGTTGAATGTTGTTGAGGATGTTGTTCGTGTGTGGAGTGTTCATTGAATACACACACTGTCGTTGCACGGCGTTTGTTTCGATCTGCTTGATGGTTGTTGCTGATGCTGTGGCTGATGTTGTGGCTGATGTTGTTGTTGTGGTTTGCTAATGATAGTGGGCAGTTAGTGGACGATGTTACTGACGACGCTAAAGATGATGAAGACGGCCTCGTTGATGTTGTCGGCGAAATGGACATGAAGTATTTAACAGAGTAGCCACGATCGGTGGAGAATGTTGTCGGAAAGTAAGTTGCCTTCGTAATCGTCGTCGTCTTTGGCGCTGTTGCAGATGTTGTGGTTGCTGCTGCAGCTACTGGCGACTTTGTTGTTGAGATTGTTGATGCTACTGTCGTTAATTGAACAGGAGTTTGTACCGCGGTCGTGAAAGTAGTTGTTGTAGTGTTGGTTGCTGACAATGACGTTGAATTCAATTCGTTCGAACTTTGAGGCCCCAGTGAAACTAATATATCATTTAAATCATCTAAAATGGCTTGCAGATTTTGTTTCGGTTGCTGTCGGTGTAGTTGCTGCTGCAGCTGCGATTCATTTAGTAAAAGTTGATCGGATAGATGAGGCTGTGAAATGGCAGAAGTTGAAGAAGAGGAGGACGAAGACGATGCCGATAAATCATCTTTCTTAAGAACACCCAAGCCAGGTGACGACTTGTCTGCAACTTTATCTCCATTTTCTTCAGTCGACGCGATTTTCGATCGTTCTGGAATCTTCCAAACTTTCGAGGAAACCATAGAACTCCCAGGAGATAAAGTTTCCGAGTTGGTGAAAGACGTTCTAGAACTTCTGTTATCGCTCACAGTATTTCCGCTTTCGCTCGTGCCATCCCTAATCGTTCCATCGCCAGTTTCGCTTTCGCTCTCCAGGTCTACCATGCGGGAAAACCGATTGATCATTGCTTGAGGGACAACTTCTGGGCCTCCGTCAGCCGGGAGTCGAATTTTGTCGCGAAATTTTACCAGATGTTCTTTGTTCTCGCCGCCATCATTTGGATCGTTTTGAATAGTGTTGTTACCGCTTTCGGAGAATTTCGTTTCATTTTCGAAATCGAAAATAATTTGTTGGACGGTGGGTGGCTCGAAACTTCCCGGCTCTTTTGTCGGTCTTTCAAGAAGTTCACTCTCGGGGGTGGTGGGCGGTAGGTGGAGCTTCAATCGCCGCAAGTCGTCAATGGTGTTCTTGAGGGAGGCCACGGCTACGTCATCGTCGGCGGCGAACGACCTGCAGAGGTCGTCGTTGAAGAACTGCATCAACTCGTCCATGTTCATCTTCACGATCTGACCTTTGACATCGGAAAGTAAAAATGACGTAAAATAAACAACGGCACCAACTAAAACAACAACAACAACAACAGCAGCAGCAACAACAACAACAACATCAACAACAACGACAACAACGACAAACTTCTATGTAATTTGATAACGACGATACACATGGCGATAAGAACGGATTCGCCTTCTAGCACAAAAATATCCCAGAATCTCAAGGTAAGTGAGAACGGTATCTAGATGATGATGATGTCGACGACGATGATGATGATGATCAGATGATGATGATGATGATGATGATCAGATGATGATGATGATGATGATGATCAGATGATGATGATGATGATGATGATCAGATGATGATGATGATGATGATCAGATGATGATGATGATGATGATGATCAGATGATGAATATTACGATACGATAATTATTTGCCATCATCATCATCATCGTATCATCCTCGTCGTCATCATCATTCAGTCACCCTGTCCAGAAAGCACTGCATCAGCCACTTCAATGTATAAAGAGAAGGGAACATCTCATGTTTATCCTATGATGATGGTGACGATCATTGTGATGATGATGGTAATGATGATGATGATGATGATTGCGGTAATGATGATTATGATTGCGTTGTGATGATAGTGATTGTGATGATGATGATGAATGTAAACTTAGCGTTACGAAAATTGTAACAGAAGCTACGCGTAGGTAACAACAATGGCACAGAGCAGCAGACCAACCAAATGCTTCTTGACTTTTGGCATAAGTTTTTTTAACACGAGATTGTAATGGTCTTGGTATCGTAACAATTTCGGAAAGCCCGGAATGAAAAAACCTTGAATGATTAATTGATTGAATGATTGATTGAATGAATGAATGATTGATTGAATGAATGATTGACTAAATGATTGATTGACTGAATGATTGGCTGATTGATTGGTTGTTTTAATAATTGATTAATTGAATGGTTGATTGATTGATTGATTGATTGATTGATTGATTGATTGATTGATTGATGAAAGAATAAATTGATAAATGAATAAACTAAAATGTGAATTAATTCATGCATGTGTTAAATAAGAAATGAATTATAAAGAAGAACACATGCATACGAACCATGCATTTTATAGCGTGAACCATTTATAAGGGATGCTAATGCCCAAAATGCATCCTGATGAATGGACGAATGAATGGATGAATGAACGAATGAATAAATAAATAGACGAATAAATGACTAAAAAAATGAACAAAAAGCGAAAAAAGAACAAACAAATAAATAAAAACAAATGAATAATGGATTGATAAATAAACAAAATGAATGAAAAAATAGGTGACTGACTGAATGAATGAATGCATGAATGAACGAACGAACGAATGAATGAAAAAATAAACAAATAAACGACTGAATGAAAGAATAAACGAACGAACGAATGAATGAATGAACAAACTTCCTCATTGAGAAACATAAGCACCAGAGCAGCAATCTGGCTCATGCCCTGACAATAACCAACGTCCGAATTGTACATGGCATACGCCACAAGTATGTTGAATAGTGCTTGTTGTCTGTGTGTGTGTGTGTGTGTGTATGTATGTTTGTATGTATGTATGTGTGTGTGTGTGTATGTGTGTGTGTGTGTATGTGTGTGTGTCGGGATGCGTGTGTGTCTTGTATACATCTTTTCTACACTGTTTCCTTTTGTCAATCATTAATTTATTTATCACTCTTTTACTTTTTCGTTGTTTTACTCTTCCATTCACTCCTTCATTCATTCTTTCAATCCATCCTTTATTCATTCGTTGATTGATTGACTGACGGACTGATTCATCCATTCATTCCTTCACTCCATCCACTAACTTGACGTCGTATCTCCTACGGAACATGATGTGGTTGCGGAATGTCCTGTTGACGTCTAGATCAATCTGTCGCACGTCTAGACACCACTGTCTGCCCGCCATCTTCATTTTCTGATGATGACGATGACGACGACAACGATGATGACAATAAACGATGATGATGCTGGCGATGATGATGACGATGATGTGGTTGGTCACGATCATGTTATGAAAATGATAACTTTTGTGTTGCATCCTAGCTTCTATACTGGTAATAATAATCATAATAACAATGATTACAACACACAAACACACACACACAAACACACACACACACAAGCACGCACACAAACCTCATACACGCCGGGATTATCCGTCACCAATTTTTGGGTCCCCAAAATTTTCGACCACACGATCCCGCGAACAGGTAGTGGCAGACCTTTGTAAACCCGCCTGTATAGCTGATGATGATGATGATGATGATAATAATAATAATAATAAATAACAATAATAATAATAACCTTCTCGCTTGGATAATACACGGACCAGTTTTCGCACATTTTCAGCCATTTCTTAGTTCTGCCCAACATGGCTAATTTAGACTGATGATGATGATGACGATGATGATGGCTTTAGTAATCAGACAGAGAAGATGACAGGCAAATAAAATACACACACACACACACCCACACACGCGCGCACACACACATTTAGGTTTATGTTATGCAGTACACATACAGGGAATAAAAATTATACTAGACTTCGCAAATGTTCTCTCATCCATTCACCTATTCATTCATTCATTTACTCATTCCTTCATTCATAAACTTATTTATGCGTGTATTATTTCATTCATTCATTCACTCATTCATTCATCCATTCATATTAATTTACACATTCTTTCATTCAGTCATTTCATGCAGGCATATATCTGATCAAATTTATCTATTTCTTCATTCGTTTCCTATCTACTCATTCATCTAATCATTCATTCGTTCACTCATTAGTTAATTCATTCATACATACATTCATTCAATCATTCATTCATTCATTCATTCATACATACATTCACTCACTCACTCACTCACTCACTCACTCACTCATTCGTTCATTCTTCCATTAAATCATTCAGTCAAGAAATGACGAAATTATCATCAACATACTCTAACATCAACATTTAAATTAATTAGTAGCAGCAGTAGTAGCAGCAGTAGTGGCAGTAGTAGTAATAATAGTAATAAGAGTAGCAGTAGTAACAGAAGCAGCCACAACAGCAGCAGTAGTAGTAGCAGAATA